CTTCTGACCATCATTTCTTTGAAATTGTTCTGCTGGATATTTGTAAGCATAAATTGAACAACGTTGTACCCACCATAGACCTAAAATTAACATTTGTTCATAAGTATAGACCAGGTTCGGTATGGTTAGGTGAGCTACCGAGAAAATCTTTAAGTATGGGCCAGTCATGTGAGAGTATAGGTGAAAATAAATTCATGTTTGAAATATGATTAGCCACCTTATACGTGCGTATCAGTTTTAGACGTAATTTTGAAACAGTGAGTATGTAAATGGACCGCTTAGAAGTGAAAATCTCGATGGGCTGATACATAGGTACCAATCCCGGTATAGACTATTCGCAATAGACTGTACCATACATCAATATGGTATAAAATAATTACCTATAATTATTATCCAATTATACTTACGTAATTAAAAAAATGTTTATTCTGCCTGTTCTTAACCACCGATAGGCATATATTTGCATAACAGTAGAAACAAAAACTCATAACTTGAATAGTTAATAATATTACTAAAAATCTCAAATATTGCTATTCATAATCTGAGGAGTAGCATGCATATTGTATACCAAAAATAAAATTAATTACAGTAGTCGGTAATGTGTCTTTTTAAGAAAAAACTAAGCTCGACCATCGACTTCAAAAAACTATTTTCGACAAAATTGGAGAAGAATTGTATGCATATTTTTTTTTTTTTTGCAATAATTCATTGATACAATATTATTTTTTTAGCAATCATGAAAAATTAAAACATATAGTAGAAACAATAATATTGTGATGAAAAATTTTAATTGAAATCATACTGTGGAAAAAATAATTCAAAATTAAATATAATAATTAATCACTTTTGGACTGAACGAAAAAACATTTTAGTGGAGGATATAATTTTAAAAAAAATATTGCAGTACCGAGTTCCGGCGCTAGTTTTAATTAATAAACCCCTAATATCGAAAATAAACTGAAAAAAAAACGTATGTAGGTTGGTATACCCTCTACAATATAACAACCACATAGTATGTGACCATGTGGTTGTGGGGTAGGTAGGTAGGTAGGTATAGGTAGGTATTCCAAACTTTAAAATAACTATGTAACTTTGTTTAACTATAATAACTAGTTCAAGCTAAATATAGTAGGTACTTAAAAGTCCATTCCAGCTATTCTTCAGCTGTTAAATTGGTCCGTAAATACACTTTAGCACAACTGTTCTTTAACATAATTGCAGTTATTTTAACTCTAATTAAATATTCAATTACAATTACCATAAAATGCATGTTGTTTCTTGGCAATCTATTCTGCGTTGCTAAAGCCACTCACTTCCTTAGTACCTAAGAAGGTAGATTTTTGTGAAATAAAGTTTATATATACCTACATGTATATACAGGGATTAGCCTCGAGACGGAAAACCTATTCACTGATCTATTAAATGCAAAAATAAGCTCGCCCAGCGTGATTGAATATTCCCCCTCCTGAGTTCATCAACAGCTATAATCGGATTCTCCCATCACGGCGAAACTTTATTTTTTAATTAAACCGTACTACAAGAAGTTCTTATCGGACGGACTATAAAAACCCCTATAGGTCGACATTTCAAAGTCCGGCGGGCAACGACGACGACAACCCAATTAAAAAATAATGCCATAATCAAATATTTTCGTTAAAACCGAACAGACTACAGTAATACTATATTATATACTATTATACCTGGTATAGGTTGTAGTGATACACATTATCATGATGTTTAACCGATTAGGTATATGTAATATATTGTATAATTTGATAAAATACAGTGATTAACTGGCAAACTACTGTAATTAATGGACGGATTATTAATGATGCGATGACAATCCGTTGCGGTACAACAGTACCATCATAATTATGGATGATGGGCCGAACGAATAACTACAATAACCGATTACGACCAGTCCATTGTTTTTAACGTGATGGAGACACATTATAGTGAATATACCGACGTAATATCATTAGACATACTTACAGCCATGACGCACGTGGGCATAAGACCGTCTTATGCAGCCCACACGTGTCATACGAAAGTTTATAACATATAGGTACAACACTTAAGGAAATTGCATTATTTTTAATAGAACTCTACACAGTTCGCGTACCTATCATGTTTCATTTCGGCCTTATTTTTGGTCATTTTATACCTAAACTCTTCACATATAATAATATTTATACGTATAGACCGGGGGTCAGCAATAGACGGTCCGAGGGGGAGAAAAACTAACTCGAAGGCCAAAAATATTTTTTTTTAATAATTAATTATTTAGCATAGTCGAGTATAGGTAAACTTTTTTTCAAATTCTCTGAACCGCCGTAAAAATCAATTGCCGATCCCTGGCCTGGATCATTGGTCGGGCGCAATGTCGACTTGAGAGTGGAGAACGCTCTAAAAATCATGTTGCGCCCTGTAGCTACCTACGGCGTATACAATATTGTACATTTTTTCGTCACAAACTGTACGGATCTGTTTTATTCCAATTTTAAAATAGGCCTCTAAAATTTAACAGGACAATAATTGTCGGTAGTTGTGTAGGTAGGCTTACTCTCAGGTTTTAAATCTTGAATACGCGTACTTACTTATTTTCTTATTCAAATGCTAAAATAACTTTTTGATTCCAATTTAAAAAGATTAAAATCAAACAAATCAAAACCGAGAAAAACATTTCGTACAATTTGATTTTTTTAGTTGTCGTTATTTTAAGTCCACTGTGGCCAGCCACTATCCTTGGCCCGTTTTTCTTCTGCTCCTCATAGTTTTAAAATAGTAAACCCCTAGTCGTAAACTCTACTATCCTATAAACACAAGGAAAGCTGAGAATAAGAGTTCATATTATCTACAATGATGAGAAACATATTTTATCCGAATTATTAAAAACATATTTACAATTGCACCCATTCATACAGTACCTAGTCTACTCCATTAGTGCTCATACTTTGTTTACCGCAATAAAAATAGAATATACGTTCAGCAGTGAGCTAAGAATTTAAAATCTATTATAGTTGTTAGGATATTGGGATATAGGTAATATAAACACATAGGTATCCAGGCTATGTAACACGACATGATATTTAACCTCGTTTTTTTATGGTAAGTACCTACTTCTTAATGGATTTCATTTATTGTAAAATATTCATTGATAGGTGAATAAGTAATAGAGTATGGAATGCATTCGAGAAACCAGGCCCAGATGATAAATAAATTAAACCCCAGCTGGATAGAGGATTGGTCAGAATAATACAGTTGCGACTATAGGCAAACAATAGTGACTATATATATATACCTATATACAAAGATCATCAGCGTCATTGAGTGGGTATTTTTACCCTGTAGGTTCTTGCTCACAATATTTGAGTACTAGAGTTAGGTTAGATAATTGCAAGGTATGATGAATCGATGTAATAAAATTGTCCTCGGGCCTCGCAAAACTTTGAGCCGGCGATGATAGACGTATCCGCGCTGCGTTTAAAAAATACGAAAAATCTGGCTGAAAATAACAACATTAACTTAGATGCTATAAAGTCAGAATAAATTAAAGAATAAAGAATATAGTGCCTATATAATAAAGATTATTATTATAAATATTACAGCATATTATTTACAAATAAATATACCGTTCTTCGGCTATAAGTGGAAATTTGAAAATTAAATAAAAGTCGAATAGGGCACGCTGTCTAGCGGCGAAATTAAGAGACGATCACGGGCAATGGGATTTATGGACATGCGCCGTAAGATTTAAACCAATATAAGCGCAAATAGCGTTTGAGATTTGGAGGTGGGGCAGAAACTCTAGTAGGTATATATAATAATATGGAATAAGCCGGTTTACAAACAATAGGATATTTTTTGAGGGCATTAACAATTTTTTTGGGAGGTGGGCTTAACTTAGTCACCTGATTATTTTATTTATATACCTATGATTTAAACGCAGACTTCTATAGTTTCTGCTATAGATAATTATGTGTGTTTAAATGATCGTGACTTCGATTGATAACATATTTTTCCTCATAGTCCGGATGAATATTGTCTCAATAAAGCACACCAATGTCCAATACAGACTGACGACTGTAGCTCATGAAATCCTTCATGTTATGTAATTATTGTAAAAATTAATTTATCAAATTATTATCATACTTATTATTTTACCAATTTTGATTTTAGTTTTAATCTAAAATCGGTAAAATCGATGAAACTAAAAATTATATCTATCTATAATCTATAAATTAGAAGTAAATGGTATACGATCATCAAATATTATAAAACGAGTTTTCTTCATAAAATTTTTGTTTTTATTAATTTTACTGATTTTAAATAACTATAGTTATTTAAAGTTATATTTTAGCCATCGGTGTAGGTCCTTTATTCAAGAGCTTGTAATAGATAGATATGCATAATTTATTTATTCTTTCTCTTTTAGATGAAATGGTAATAATAAGTCCCATCACCGATGTCCGATTATCAATAGGTAATTGGTTATAATTTCAGTCATTATACAAATCTTTTGCCGTATAAAATTTTAACTTTAATATTAGATAAATACAAGTATTAAGTAATTAAAAATAAATGCTGAAGTTGACCCGCCAACTGATTTACAACAAGCACTGGTACCAAAGTTTATTTAGCATTTCAAAAGCATTATTAGGTAGCATATAAGTAGCAACTATCAACCACTTTAGTGTGTGTCTAGACAGTAAACCATTAAAGTCTTTGTAGTTTTCCTTATTTTCTTTTGTAGTTTGTAAAATAAAATAATAATCAGGTACCTACTACCTATTCAATGTACAATTGTGTTTTTACAAGCTTTTTATTCCTGAAATGTCATGAGCGACGTATTCGATGTGACGAACTTTACTGCTGATGTGGTACGATAATATTTTTACTTACAAGTTATGAGATTTAAAGATTTTGAGAAATTCGAAGGAAAAGATTTTTAAAAATATTTTATTTTATATTTGAATTGCTAATAATAGTAATCGGCTGCGTTATGCATATTGTTGTGTTTCGTTACATCCTCGATTATTGGGCTCTCGAGTGCCACCGACCGACGTTGCAGAACTGTTAATGATACTGGGTATCAAATCCACCACTCTCGCGAACGGGCAACCACGTGCAGGTCGGGGAGTGTCTTGATGACTACGGTGCTGCTCGGCCGAGCCCGATGGCGTCACACTGGCATTATTCCGTGGCCTGCTGCGGCGGCCTGATCGACTGTGCCGTCCGGTCGAAGCGGCGCCTTTTCTCACGTCGGTCGTGTCGTCGTCATAAGTGTTGTTGTGCTGAGACGACATCTGGACAGGACAGCAACCGTTGCCATCGCTGACACCTCGCGCAGACGGCTGGTAACACTCGTCGTGCTGTACCTGTTTTGTGGCCGGTTCGTTGTTACAACTATTGTCCACCGCACTGAAATTGCAGAAACACTCGACGACAAAGCTGCCCTGCGGAAGTTTACGATTTTGGCTTTCGTCCTTCGAACTTTGGCGTTCTCTAAGATCATATTGCGATGTTCGGAGTTCTCTATTGTCGTGTTGTGACGGTAGTTGTTCTCTGGTATTGTCATGGGACGGTCGTCGTGCTCTAGTGCCGTGGTGGGACGACCGGCGTTCTCTACTGTCGTGTTGGGACGATCTTCTTTCTCTGCTGTCGTGTCGGGACGATTGTCGTTCTCTGCTGTCGTGTTGGGACGATCGTCGTTCTCTACTGTCGTATTGGGACGATCGTCGTTCTCTAGTGTCGTGTCGGGACGGGCGACGTTTTCTAGTGTCGTGTTGAGATGGACGTCGTACTCTACTGTCATGTTGGGACGATCGTCGTTCTCTAGTGTCGTGTTGGGACGGGCGACGTCTCCTAGTGTCATACTGAGAAGGTCGACGTTCGCTAGTATTATGCTGTGACTGTCCACAGTTATTACTAGTATCATGCTGTGGCTGTCGACAATTATTACTAGTATCATATCGCGACGGTCGGCGTTCTCTAGTATCGTGTTGGAATGATTGTCGGTCTCTAGTATCATACTGAGACGGTCGACGTTCGCTAGTATCATGCTGTGACTGTCCATAATTAATACTAGTATCATGCTGTGTCTGACGACAATTATTACTAGTATCATGATGTGACTGTTGAAGTTTACTAGTGTCGTGCTTTGACTGTCGACGTTCGCTAGTATCATATCGCGACGGTCGGCGTTCTCTAATGTCATGTTGGAACGCTTGTCGCTCTCTAGTGTCGTTCTGGAATGATGGTCGGTCTCTAGTGTCGTGTTGGAATAACGATTGTCGGTCTCTAATGTCATACTGCGACGGTCGACGTTCGCTAGTATTATGCTGTGACTGTCCACAGTTATTACTAGTATCATGCTGTGGCTGTCGACAATTATTACTAATCTCATGCTGTGACTGTTGACGTTTACTAGTGTCGTGTCTTGACTTTCGACGTTCGCTAGTGTCATATCGGGACAGTCGACGTTCGCTAGTGTCATGCTGCGACGGTCGGCGTTCTCTGTTGTCGTGTAGCGACTGTTTCTCGCCACCCGAATTCCGCTGTTCGCAATAGTCTTGTAATGATGTTCGCGTTTTCCGGTTTTCTGTCATCAATTCTTTCTGTTTGCGCTCGATTCGCCTCATCAAATGCGCCCGACGCTGTTCCACTTTGTACAATTCTTTTTCGAATTGCAGTGTCCCATCCGATCGGTTGGTCACGGTCCGGTTGGTCGTGGTCTGGTTGGTCTTGGTCCGGTTGTTTGACGTCGGCGTCGGTACAGATGTTCGGTCGGTGGCCGGGCTTTTCGAAGGCCGGAACGCGGAAGTCGTAACTTGCAGCGATTCGTGGACCGACCACTGTTCTCCGTTCCGTCGCGACATCAATGCACTACTATGCTGTTCGGAATCGAATCCCGGTCGAGGATCACGGCCGTTCGTCAGATCGTCAGCTACCGTAGTCGGCTCTTTTGTCGGCCTACTTTCCTCGGACATCCTAGCCCCGCAGCCGCCGTTGCTGGAGGTCCTGCTGCTACAACCGGTGTCCTCTCTGTCGCAGGTCTTACTTTCGGTAGAGCTGTCATTTTTACAGGAGTTTTCTTCTGGTTTCTCGTCGAAACTGCACAGGCTTCCCTGTAGTGGTCCACGAACTTTACTCACCGAACATTTGGACTTCTGATCCGGCGGACATTGTTTGTCGGCATTCTGTTTACGATCACACGGACCACCTGAATTACCCACTGGACTGCATAACATTCTTTTCGTGTATAGTATTAAATGTAGTTAACTTTTTGATTCGTGTTAAAAATATTTGTTGAGTGTTTCTGCGTTTGAAATCTGTTTTATTGTGACGATTTAGAAAATGTTTCTATATCCTAGCAATATAATTGTTGAAATATACAAACAGAATAAATACTATGATATTTTTATCTTTAAACAGAGCCAACTCTTACAATAGTTGTAGACGCCTGATAGAAATGAATATTATGTTTTTATGAAAATTATAGATCAATAATTCATCAAACATAAACTCAAAAAAAATCATAATTATACCTACCTAGGTGTTTAATAGTTTTGATTGGATCATCCATGTAGTTAAGTTACTAAGTAATTTTTGGAATTTTTTTCGAAAATCCAAGTATTTCAACGGGATAAACGCAGTGGGGCAATCAGAATCTGTTGATTGGACTTAGTTTCAAAGTTATAATCTTTTGATGTTCATGATTTAGCATATTTTACGAATATCTACTCAAATTAATCCTCAAATCTACAATGAACATTTTTTTAAAATAACTTTATTAACAATAATATAAAAATTGAGTATGAAAACACAGTATTATTAAATGAAGAAGAATTTTATAATAGGTACAATTTTAATTTTCAGCATCATTATACGTTTTATTTCTCAACATTTCTTTTCATGTATTAAGTCAAATTTTAAGATAAACTTTTATAAACTAAGGCTGCTTCTTGTCAAAATATCCAAAGATAAACTCTAGTAAAAGATTGTTAAGGAAGTCTAGTTTATCAAATTTTTGTAATTCATTGTGTTACAGAATTAGATTTAAAACTTTATATTACCACAGATTTGACTTAAAAAATAATTCAGTAATAATAGTTAAAGTATAATAATATTGACTATCCACCAAAAAGGTCAACGTGAAAGTAAAACTAATACATTTTCTGCTTTCGAAAAACACAAATCTTTTATTACATTATAAGAATGGAAAATAAATGTAGTCATCAAAATTCCAAAACTTTAACGTTAAGCCCATAACTGTTATACATATTTTTTTTTTTAATAAGTATATTATTTTAAAATTTAATTTCCCAAGAATGTTTTTTTAGACATTGTCTCTTCTTGCATCAAGCTATAGAACTAATTTGTATGAATTCATATATAGGTATAGCCAATGTCCACATTTTAAGACGGACATACATAATATTTCATAGACTATTGACTAAATATCAATTAATAGCGAAATACACTATTTGTAATCCCTTTACAGCTTATATTTTATAATCATAAATCATTATTAATTAGTATGAATTAAACATTAAACTATTAAAGTAAAATAAATAAATAGTTATGGGTATTAAATATTAATATTATTTTTAAATATCCATTGTACGATAACGCAATCGGTTATTATCGTCGTCACGTTGGTCACATCAGTCATTTTGGCGCGGTTTTCATTATTTATTTATTCTTATCTATGATCGTCACCAAATATGAAATAAGAATTATAGAAATAACATATTTTTTAAAAATAATTTTCATTACTCACTAGTCATTTGTCGTTTTTCTATATTGTTGTTATTTAATGCTAATAATACTTAATACTTATTATATCATGTTTCAATAGGTACACGATTCACCGACTTAAATTGTGCTTCAATACTCTTATACATTTATAATTTCAAAAGTACACTAATAGTTGTTATGCTCCAACCTTTGTGACGTAAGTATTATTTTGTATAGTCTATTCGTCGTCTAGTTCGCGCAAAATAATATAAAAGTCAGTGTAGTCGTACTCGCACAAGTTTTTCCTCACACTTGTGATTCTAACATGTGTTTGAAATGTTTTCATTGTCATTTTGATTCTTGTAGTAATCACTGTTAATTTTACTAACTCACACCATTGAAAATATATTTATTTTTATGTACTCAATGTAGTACCTAGATAAAAGTTATTATTTTTTGTTTAGTCCAGCTAAAGTGATGGCATTAGTTCATGCTGAATTGACCGCTACATGCAATTCATTAGGATGTGCAAAATCTGAAAACTATGTCATTGATCCACAATGTGCAGGTATCTACTTAGTTATAAATAAATTTATGTACCAAGTACATTTTCAATTTGAACTCTGGTTATTTTTCGCAGAGGCCGTTCGTGATCTCATCAAGTTTTTGAGACGTGATGGTGATGACCATGAAATCCGTCGCCATCTTGGTACAGCAAATATTGTGGAGACTGATTTGTTGCCAATACTTGTCAGATACTCTAATGATTCAGAATTGTTTGATTTGATCATACGGCTGCTAGTCAATCTTACAACACCCGCATTATTGATATATAATGAGCAGCCGCCTATTGAGAAAACCCAGAGGCAATATTACTTGCAAATATTGTCACACCTACAAAAGTACAAACGAGCATTTACAGACATTAATGTCTGGAAAATAATAGTCAATAAATTGGCAGAAGTTATACAGGCGGTATGTATGACTTTCATAAAAAAACTTATGAAATAAATTAAACATTATTAAATAGTGTATTACTTTTATTGCAGGAGTACCATGAGAAAGGAGAAGAAAAAGTATTGTCCACGGTGAGACTTCTCATTTTAGTCCGCAATATACTGCATGTGCCTGCAGATAATGATGCTGAGTGTAGACCTGATAATGATGCAAACTTACATGATCAAGTAAATTAATCATAACTTTTTAGTACTACTAACATTTAATAACTCTAAACATCTTTAGGTCCTGTGGGCATTGCATCAGAGTCAACTCATTGATATCATCATGTATATAACATGTTCAGTTAATGAAGAGCAATACTATTTACATGCATTAGAAGTAAGCATTTGAAACCAGTATCAATATTTTCATTTTAAATAAATCTCCAATATATTTATGACTATTGAGCAGTGGCATGGTATGTATTGTAATTAAGACAGTGTAAGCAATGGTACATACTTACTTATCCCCCCACCCTTTCCAACACACCAATACACAAAGTTAATTTAGTTACAATTTTTACAATTTCATTTTTTAAGAAAAATACAAATATTTAAAATCAATTCTTCTTGGTTTTTTTGGTGTAATCATCAATCACATCATCATGACATTTGATACAAATGGTTTTAATGGTACTTTTTCAATAGGCAATACAATTACAATTGTTCTTACCTGAAGAACCCATTTTTTTATAATAAGTTTTTAATAAAAACATAGAGCTATACAAACACACACCACACTTACATTAGACGGTCCAACTTTATAGCGAAATAAACTATAATCAGTTCGTACACATTATGAAAAATGCTTACAAACTGTTGTAGTAATATACTTGCCCTTTCCTATTGTGCTTTGTCTATATCACGTAAATAGGTTGGTGTAAGTAGTTTTATTTTGCATTAACCAGCTTGAAGTATCACTAAAGTAATACAAAAATAAACAATGTATGACAGTGTTGGGGTGTAACACGGCGGCTTGTATAGGCCCTAATCATAGCATTGTGTAAGTGACCATCAAAAATGTTATGCATCCTAAAAATAACTACTAATAACTTCAAATTAATTATTTTACTTGATTTTAGTCAAAAAAACTTTTTCTTAAATCTTTTTTCAAGTGTAAGCAGTGCCATAAAATAAACATGCACGCTTCACCCCTGCTATTGAATAATAGTATGTGTTGCTCTATATCTGTTATTTAAAAAAATTCTTTAGATCATTTCACTTATGCTTCGAGATCAAAAAGCAGCTGAACTAGCAGATGCGTCAGTCAATCGTTCTAAGACTGAAAAACAAAGAGATGAACATGATCTCAAAATAGTGTTGGATAAAGAACGAAAAGAAAAGATGGATAAGCTTAAAAAATATAGTGGATCACGTCATTCAAAATTTGGTGGGCGATTTGTTGTCTCTGGAATGAAATCAATTGGTGATAACGAAATGGTTGTTTCATCGATGACATCTAACATAAATAAAGCTTTTGATCGTTACAAGGTTTGTGTTAGGATTTACATGCATCTTTTTGTCAATTGTGTATGAGTTACACACTTAATTGTTAATGTTATTTTTATTAATTAATTTTAGAAACCTCTTAAAACTCCTCGTAACAGATTACCTCTAAGAGATGCTGGTATTGAACGAAAATCTGCGTTTAGTGTTAGACTCTTCTTAAAAGAGTTCTGTGTCGAATTTTTGCATGGGGCATATAATATGTTAATGAAGCACGTCAGAGTGAGTATTTTTGTCCATTTTTAACTATTAATATAGATATTTAATTCAATATTTATTTGTATTAAAGGAAATGTTAGTGCGTTCAAAAGGCCAACCTAATGATGAGTCATACTATTTTTGGGCAATGCAATTTTTCATGGAATTTAATCGCAATTACAGATTTGAAATTAAATTAGTCAGGTAATATTTCTGTTAAGTGTTCAACATTTGCTTAAGATGTGTCGTTACATATTAAATTTCAATTTGTCTTTAGCGAAACTATGGCTTTAAATATATTTCATTTTGTCCAAGAACGCATTGAAGAAAGCCGTGAAAAATTGATAACTGATAAAAAAAAAATTCCTATTTGGTCTAAACGCATGCATTTAGGACTTAAAGCTTATAAGGTAAGTATATAATATATTATTTAGTATTTTATGATATATCATTGAACTGAGTTAACTTTTATATCTTTAGGAATTAATGGAAACACTCTTGGTGATGTATCAAAGTAAAAATCCAACGTTAGAATCTAGTGCTCGGACAATTTTAACTAATTTATTTTACATGGTTGAATATAGAGATATGCTATTGGGTTTGCTAAATTTATATGATGAAACAAAATTTTCACGGTAAATACTAATAAAATACATTATGTTCTTCAAATTTCATTTTTTTTTATATGTTTTAGAATGTACCTCAAGGATCTTATTGAAACAAATCATGTTTTTATGAAACTTTTAGAGCATATAGGGAAAAAACAGCGTAATTTGATTGTGCAGTGCAAAACAAGAAAAAAGAAGACTTCCAAAAGTATAACATTTTGA